AGAGAGGCGTGGAAGAAGGGGAGGAACACTCACCTTCGGCAACGTTCTCCGAGGACGTCGAAGGCGGCGGCAGGTCGCAGTACGAGAAGAATGAACTCCGCGCTTAATTGAAGTAGTGGACACAACGTGGAGTGGAGGCCTGTTTCTTTGCGCGGAGGCCCCCAAAATCAAGGAGTTTGAATTCGAATTCTGAGGGCCTCCCTCCTGGAGGGCATCCCGGGAAGATGCATCCAATGCAGAAGGGCAAAATGGACAGCCACCACGGGAAATGGGACCGGCCTACCGGTAGGGGCATTCCAAAAAGTTGTGCCCCTCACTGACAGGGGCCTTTTCGAAAGTTCAAAGGCCCCAGGGGCAAATCAGGGTAAGTCGGCCGTCATTTCGAAATTTTGCCCTTTTTTTTTTCGGTTACCAAATATGGAAAAGAATGAAAATACCGGGGCCAAGCTCTGCTTACGTTTCTTCGGCGGGTTGACCACTGGCGCGTCGTTAGGCGGTGTAGCGCTGCGTGCCCGCGGCTGCTGGCGACAGAGCTACATTTGACGCCGGTCAACCGAAGCTTGGTCATCATGCCCAGCTGGATCCGACAGCCCATTATGACCGTGTTCATGCGCTGTGGACATGGACCTGATTGTCACCTATGTCAGTGAGTGTGAGGTGGGTGTGATGCATCGCTTGGTGTAATTGCTTCTTTTGCGGTGCATCTGCCCTTGAACGCTATATGGAGCCGTGATCAGGGTGTGTTGGCACCGCTTGTCTTCAATATGGAGTCTGTGAGTACTACACAGTCTGCAAGCTGGAGCAGAAGTTTGTCTCCAACCTGTGTTGGGCTTGATGAGTATCTGCACGTGTTTGACCAGCAAAGTTGGCATACAATCCTTTCTGAGATGATTGGTTTCCTCTGAAACGGTTATCACCCTTTTTGCAGTAGCGAACGGGGATCCCAGGGCTCGATCCCTAGACCTCACTGCCTGTGTACAGTACCCCTGTGTATGTGTTTGAATCCGTAACCTGTGTTTTAGGAGTGAGCAGTGGTCTGTCGTAGACCTGTTTGTCCGTCGGGTCTTGAACCGTATGTCTGTCACGTAGGGGTCAAAGTTTACAGTAGAGGTCGTAGCTGTAGGAGTCCTGAAGGGTCAAGGTCGTAGCTGCTACAGTCCTGAAAGGTCAAGGTCGTAGCTGCTACAGTTTCGAAAGGCCAAGTCTACAGCCTTCCGGAAGGTCCGGAAGTGGCCTTTCGACGACTGCCCACAGCAGGCCAGAGGCAAGTGGGCAAGTGGTAAACCCACTGCACCGAGTCAGCAGTGCGAATGCACTGAGTCGGCGGTACCATCCCATGCAGTCAGGAGTACCCAGTCCCGGTCTCACCTAGTCCAGTCAGCAAGTACCATGTGGGACTGTGTGCGCCAAGGGCCCGGTGGAAAGGGGCAGACCAGCCATGAATAGAAGTATAAATCAAGAGGCAGCGTCCAGCCAGCATGCATTTGCTGCGGAAGCCATGCGGAAGCGCTGCTACAGCGTCTTGTGCGAAGGTGGTCTGCAGGTTGCCCGAAGGCGAAGTGGGCTGAAAGGAGATCGTAGCCATAGTCAGTGGTGGTAGTGCGGCCATAGCCGCTGTAGGAGGAAGTGAGATTAAGYGTGTGTGTGTGGTGGTATTCAGGGTGATCCAGAGTGAGCGTGTGTGAACAGTGGGGTTGGACACAGTGACGAATGAATTTGCATCTGAACTGTGTTCTTGATTTCCATATCTCTAAGCTTTGCGTGGGCGCCCTGCGCCAGTGCGAATCTCCATCTGTTTGCATGTATGTGAAGTGGAAGTGAAAGTGATTCTGATTTCACTGGTATCAGAGCTGGTTCCCGTTACCCCACGCGCCATAGTCGTTGCTAGTAGGGAAGAGTCGCGCGCCAGTCAGGCGCCATAGCCGAGGTGCACCATCGGAGAAGGAAGTCCGCCATAGCTGCGCTGCGGAAGAAGGTACCGTGTACCTGCACAGAAGGAAACGACGAAGAGAGAGAGAGAGCTGAGTGATACAAGATAGGTTGTGTCCAAGAGGAAGAGGTGGCCAAAGCCGAGGAGCTCGAACACGGAGTGACGAAGGAAGGAGGAGATATAGCCGGGGGAGAAGGAAGGAGGGACAACGAAGTTGAAGACAGACAAAGCTGAGGGTGAAAAAAAAAAAAAAAAAAAAAAAGATAGAAGAAAGGTGAAGAAAGTGAAGAGAAGGGAAGTTTGGCGAGGAAGAAAGTGCCGGCAGCCATAGCCAACTTGAGGGTTGACCTCGGTGTTGACCGGGTGTTGACCAGAGGGTTGACCAGAGGGTTAACCGGAGCGTTGACCGGAGCGTTGACCAAGCGTTGACCAAGTGTTGACCAAGCGTTGACCAAGTGTTGACCAAGGCATAGACCGGAGCTGTTGACCACGACGTTGACCAAGCTGGAGTTGGTATAATCTCGCCAGGCCCTTAGCCTATCCCCTCGCCCTATGGATGTACACTCACCCTATGGTACTTGCTGAGTCTGAGTCTGTTTGTCTCTTCTTTCCGCATCGAGTCTCTTCTGTCCAGGTGATAGGACTCCGTGTATGAAGGATAGGGCCTCGTTGACCAAACCCACATGGGCTGAGTAGGGCTAAAGGCTGTGTCTGACGACTCGACTGTCCCGGAGGACACGAACCCTCCCAAGGACCGGTACTGACCGGGGGGCTGCTCGGTGTGGCACGGTAGGCCCAAAATCCGAGCTGTGGGCTGCACAACGGGTCGTCTAAGTCTTGAGAGAACCTGCTGATCGCGTCGTCTTGTCTGCGACGTTAAAGAATTTCTGAGGAGTTACGGGGGATCTCCTTAAATGCCTCCTGATCAGCAATAGGTTTTGTAGTGACGGCTGTAGTTTAAAGTCCAGGTTAGAGACCATAGCTGGTAGGGTTCTATACGAATCTAGTGGTCCTTAGATTGAGTCGGTCTTAAGCTGAGTTAGTTAGGGGGAGAGTCTAAGTGGTGAGGAGTGGAACCGTTACTTGGTTGTGCATCTGTCACCATGGTAGAGACGCGTACCGGAACGAGCACCTCCCCTTACACAGCAGAACAGGATGCAAAAGCCGCCGCCATCCTGGAGGAGAGAAGGGAGAAGAAGGAGGCCAAGAAGAAGGCCTTGCTGGAAGAACAGGCGGCGAAGAAGAAGAAGATTGAAAAAGAGATGGCGAAAGAACTAGAGAGGTTGACGAAGGAGGAGGAAGAAAAACTTAGAGCGGTAGAGGCAGAAGAAGAGGTAGAAGAACAGCCACTGGAGAGGAGTAGGACAAGAGGAAGAGGAGAACCAAATGGTGTGAAGGAAGACCCGTTGGAGAAGAAGATTGCGGAATGGGTGGCCAATTTATCCCTGGGAGAAGAGGAGGAGGCATTAATGTATGTAACCAGGGAAGAGCAGGAGGCGACCATGAAAGAGTGGGATGCAGAGGAAGACCCACTCAAGCGGCAGACCATAGAGGATAAAAAGAGGATAGAGTAGAAACTGCGACTGATGAGGGAAAGGAAAAAGAGAGTGGACACAGTGAGCCAGGCGGCAAAGGAATTGAAAGAAGTAAAAAAACAGGGAGAGCAGATGGCGGCGCAGGCGGACCTGTTGGGGAAGATGCAATCATGGCGAGGAACATAGAGCACCTGGCCCAGGTCCAGGAAGAGCAATATTAGTTTTGTAGGAGTCAGGACATAGCCCTGCGATCTGTACGGCTGGGATTCAGGGACTTCGCACGAGAGTTAGTGATGCAGGTGGTCTCAGAGGTGAAGGCCCACCTAGAGAGCACAAAGCGTTATTGCACGGGCGCCATAGAGGGCGCCAGGCTGGCGGCACCCAAGGAGGAAGAAGCACGTCCTCGTAGGGAGCTTGTGAAAGTGAAGTTCCCCGACTCCTATAGTGGAAAGAAGGAAGAGAACTTCGACAATTGGTCACTTTATAGGAGAAGTGGTTGGCACCCAGGTCTGCCACAGGGCCGACCTTGGGAAGATTTGGGCCTGGACCAGTGCGTCTGGCAACAGCGTGTGGACCAGGGACAGTGCATATATTGCGGTGACCCTGGCCACATCATCAAATATTGTCCAAAGTATAAAGAGGCCCGATCGGCTGCCCAGGGGTCAAAAGGCAGCTGCCGGTAGGGGTTGCAACTGCCCCTACCATAAGGCCATGTGGGGAAACGAGCGCGAGCCGGCAGGGAACTCCCACACCACATGAGCCTATGACAGAGGTTGTAGGCCGGTGCCTAGATAGCAGTCCAGAGACTGCGTGTGTCAGAGTCTCTTTAGGCACCTCCCTCACAAACATAATTGACGAGCTAAAAGAGAGAATGCCCGTCTGGGCCAAGATGAAGAAAGAGAGTAGGGGACAACTAGTACTAGTAGATGTAGAAGTCTTGAGGAGCAGAGTAGGGGCCCTTGTAGATAGTGGGGCCACTCGCAGCTATATTAGTAGAAAGGCGCTCTAAAAGTTAAAGTTGGGATTAAAAGTTCAAAAGTTAGCAGACCCCATAGTAAGTATCCTCGCAGAGAATCACACAATGGAAGTAGAGAAGTACGTAGAGGGAGTCCAGGCGCACTTCCGCCTAGAGAAAGATGGGGAGGTGGAGAAAGTTCTTCATTCCCTAACTCTCCTCGTAGAGGACAACCTCCCATTTGACATAGTCCTAGGAATGGACTGGGGAAAGGCAGCAAGAGCCATACTTCTTCTGAGAGAGCATGAGTGTAGGCTTCCTAGTCCATCAGGCGAGGCGAAGACTACTTGTCTGTTTCATGTGTCAAAAGTAGACAACTCCTTAGCACATTGTTGTCTTAGCGCTCCTGCATTTGCAAGGCTAGTGAAGGAGCAGCTAGAAGAAAAGGTTTTTGTAGCCTACGTTAGACCAGTTACTGAGCCGAAAGAGGAAAAGCCCATAGATCCCGCTATTGCCAAGCTGCTGGAAGAATATACAAATTTAGCTAAGCCGCCAACAGGGGTAGTCTCGCGGCCTATCCAGCATCGCATTGACATAGAGTCTGGCAGTAGGACTCCTAAAGGAGCAGTGTATAGGATGTCTCCACGGGAGTTGGGGGAGCTGTGCAAGCAGCTAAATGAACTCTTAGAGAAGGGTTGGATTAGGCCCAGTTTGTCTCCATTTGGAGCACCTGTTTTATTTGTCCCCAAGAAGGAGGGAGAGCTTAGAATGTGCATTGACTATAGGGGTCCTAATGCTATTACAATGAAGATTGTGGAGCCACTGCCCCGTATAGATGATCTTTTAGATCGGGTGCACGGTTGCAAGTACTTCTCGAAGATAGATTTGAAGTCCGGATATCATCAGATAGAGGTTCATCCTGATGATTAGTATAAGACTGCATTTCGGACTAGGTATGGGCACTACGAATTCATAGTTTTGCCCTTTGGACTAACCAACACGCCAACAACTTTTCAGCGTTGTATGAACGACTTATTTAGGTTGTGGTTAGATAGGTTTGTAGTAGTCTACTTAGATGATATTCTAGTGTTCATTAGGGGACCCTCCAGGAGCATGAGGGTCATCTGAGGCAGGTCTTGGAGAAGCTAAGAGAGGCCAACTTCAAGATCAACGCAAAGAAGTGTGAATGGGCAAAGACCCAAGTTTTGTATCTAGGCCATGTCTTAGACGGAAATGGCATTAAGCCAGAAGATAGCAAGATCACAGCGATTAGAGATTGGCCTACGCCCCGCATGTTGACAGAATTGCGGTCGTTCTTAGGCCTAGCTAACTATTACAGGAAGTTTGTGCGAAACTTCTCCACCATCGCTGCACCCCTTCGCAGGTTGCTGAAGAAAGAAACAATCTGGAAGTGGGACAAGGACTGCACGTCTGCCATGAAGAAACTGAAGCAGGCATTGATAGAGTACCCAGTCCTTAAGGTAGTCGATCCGTCCTTACCTTTCGTCGTCACTACTGACGCGAGCCAGTATGGTATAGGTGTTGTATTACAGCAAGACGATGGCARTGGATATAGGCCCGTAGAGTTCATGTCTGCTAGGATGCCTTCGGAGAAGGTAGCGACATCCACCTACGAAAGGGAACTCTACGCTCCCAGGCAAGCATTAGAACACGGGAAGCACTACTTGCTTGGGAGGCACTTCAAAGTCTATTCGGACCACGAGACATTACGGTGGCTGAAGACTCAGGCCAAGATGACACCTAAGCTTACTAGGTGGGCCGCAGAGTTAGACCAATATGATTTTGAGCTCAAACCAGTAAAAGGGAAGTATAATGCAGTTGCGGACGCTCTGAGTAGGAGAGCTGACTACCTTGGAGCAATAGTTCACTATCTGGATATAGGAAGAGACCTGCAACAGAAAGTTAGAGAGGCATATGTGTAGGACCCTATCTATAGTGACCTCCTCAAGAGAGTAAAGGAGACCCCTGGACTGCTATTTGAGAAGACTAACGTAGTTGACCGATTGTGCGTTCCTAACAGTGAGGAGATCCGTAGTCTGATCCTAGGGGAATGCCACGATACTGAGGGACATTTCGGTTGGCAAAAGATTCTAGCTAACGTCATGCGCGCGTACATATGGCCTGGGATGAAGGCCGACTGCATAGAGTATGTTCGCAGTTGTAAGGTCTGCCAAAGAAACAAGACCTCTACGCGTGCCCCTCTAGGTCTTCTCAGACCCTTGCCTATTCCTGACCAGCCGGGAGACTTAGTGTCCATTGACTTTATGGACACCAATGTCAAGAGACTGGCACGACAAGGGCCAAGTCATGGTTATAGTCGATAGATTTAGCAAATATGCAGTTTTTGTTCCTCTGCCTGCGGAGGCACGCACATATTTAGTCATCCAGAAGTTCTTTGATCATTGGGTCAATGAACACGGGATTGTCTATAGTTAGTGATAGAGACACCCGTTTCACTAGTCAGAACTGGCAGGAATTGATGAGAGTCTATGGGCCTAAGTTGTTGATGTCATTTGGCCGTCATCCAGAGACTAATGGTCAGACTGAACAAATGAATAAGATCCTGCAACAAGTTTTGTGTATGTACATTAGACCGGATCAAGTCGATTGGGATGAGATGCTCCCAAAGGTAGCCGGTGCATATAACAATAGCATGCATCTAGCCACTTGTCGCACTCCCAACAAGTTGCATAAGTCTTTCAGACCCGTAGACCATTTGAAGGACTTAACCGGGACCGGATTCAGAGGCTACCGCCCGGAACTAGGGAGTTTGCCCTTCAGCACGAGAAAGAATTAGCTACCGTTATAGAGAACCTCAGGAAGGCCCAGCATAGGATGATAGAGCAAGCCAACAAGCATCATCGCCCGTCGCAGTTTCAAGTAGGCAACTTGGTGTCGGTCAAGTCTAAAGAATTTGCTCCTGAGGAGAGCATCTCATAGAAGCTATTGCCAGCGTATAGGGGACCGTGGCCAGTCCTAGAAGTCAAGGGCGGAGAGGATGGACCGTCCTACACGATAGAGATTCCAGCACACCTCCACACCTACCCAGTTTTCCATGCATCCAAATTGTTACCCTGCAATACGAGTGATCAGTTCCCATCACGAAGATCCATGATCCCTCCGGATATGGATGGCAGGTACGACATTGATCGCATAGTAGGAGAAGATGTCTATAGAACTGGACGTAGAGGTCGTTCACAGAAAAACAATACAAAGTCAGATTTTCTTTTCAGGAACCAAAAGACGACCGCTGGTACACACAAACAGAACTTCTAGAGACCGCTCCCGATATAGTTCGCGCCTATGAGAGAGACAAGAAAAGTAAAGGTCCTGCCTTGGACTGAAATATTCTCGGAGGATCTCGAATTTAGGCCGGCAGGAGTGAAACGGTTTTCACCCTTTTTGCAGTAGCGAACGCGGATCTCAGGGCTCGATCCCTAGACCTCGCTACCTGTGTACAGTACCCCTGTGTATGTGTTTGAATCCGTAACCTGTGTTTTAGGAGTCAGCAGTGGTCTGTCGTAGACCTGTTTGTCTGTTGGGTCTTGAACCGTAGGTCAGTTGTGTAGAGGTCAAAGTTTACAGTAGAGGTCGTAGTTGTAGGAGTCCTGAAGGGTCAAGGTCGTAGCTGCTACAGTCCTGAAAGGTCAAGGTCGTGGCTGCTACAGTCCTGAAAGGTCAAGGTCATAGCTGCTACAGTTTCGAAACGCCAAGTCTACAGCCTTCCGGAAGGTCCGGAAGTGACCTTTTGACGACTGCCCACAGCAGGCCAGAGGCAAGCGGGCAAGTGGTAAACCCACTGCACCGAGTCAGCAGTGCGACTGCACTGAGTCGGCGGTACCATCCCATGCAGTCAGCAGTACCCAGTCCCAGTCTCACCTAGTCCAGTCAGCAAGTACCATGTGGGACTGTGTGGACCAAGGGCCCGGTGGAAAGGGGCAGACCAGCCGCTAATAGAAGTATAAATCAAGAGGCAGCGTCCAGCCAGTCATGCATTCGCTGCGGAAGCCATGCGGAAGCGCTGCTATAGCGTCTTGTGCGAAGGTGGTCTGCAGGTTGCCCGAAGACGAAGTGGGCTGAAAGGAGATCGTAGCCATAGTCAGTGGTGGTAGTGCGGCCATAGCCGCTGTAGGAGGAAGTGAGATTAAGCGTGT